GACAAATGCATGATGGGATTGTTGTGTTGTTAGTTGAACTTCCTCGTGAAAGCAACTTACTGTACAAAACTACATTTGTAATAAACGTGAAAATAAAGAGTGATTTCATTACAAATACGGTGTTCTAAAGTCATGGCTTCAACACAGAGTACCTTACCGAACTCGTTTTGGAAATAATCACGGTTTTATTCCGTGCGGCCAAAGTTTTTCACACTCTGCAAGATCAATGAATTGACATGCGCGTACATGTTTTCGCAGGCGCATCTCCAGAAAAACACGCACAAAAAAGTTTTTAGTCTCGTCAAAATATCAAATATAAATTGTGTTTTTTTGCTTATAAATTCAAATATATTTAGTTTTGCAGTTTTGCATGCTAACTCGGGATAACGCCAAGAAAACAGGTGATTGTCGGTCGTTTGGTATAAGATATGTGTGACACGTATGAACTTTTTGGCTTCTCTACATAGTTTTATATTCGTTTTCAGTCGCAACTTGTGTGTTTTCATGTTGTTAATAGCGACCTTAAGCATGTAGGACGGGAGCGCGACGGCGACGGCAAACAAACTCGTTGAACCAAATGATTGCAGCAGAAAACCTGTCGTCTATTATTCACCGTATGAAAATAATACATTTTAATGATCAAAATTAACACTGGGTTTATGATTGAGAAAGTTCTAGGACCCAATTTAAAATAGCAGTTGTCCCAGCTTGAAATGTAAGCGTTATACAAGACGTGATTATAATCTATATTTTGCCGTTGTAAAACAAAGCTATGCATGGCGACGTCTAAAACGTCCGTGGATTTTAATTGTCAATTTCTGCTCATTTTCTTGCATTAATATATTATTAGCTGTTCTCGTCGCACTTTCGTTCTGCTTTGTTGAAGTTCTTAAGTTAGGTAGTTATTTAATATAATTATAAAAGTATAAAATTTATGACGTTTTTTGACACTTCCCCGTACTAGATTAAGCTTTGCTTAAGTTCGCTATTGACAAGTTAAAACAGTTTGAGCCGTCACATTCGGGCGCATAACGCTGTTTCACTGAATTCCTTTGCTGTTAGTAACACTTTGGTTTACCAGTTGTAAATACAAAAAAACTCTGGATATGAACTTATAAATCGCCAAATATTGGAGTAAAAAACTTTTCGCAGGTCGGGCCGATCGCCGGTTTTCACAAGAGTTTGAAAGTTGAACATTGCATTTTTTACCTTAAAATGTCTTCTAAAAAGACTAGTTATTCAACTGTTCAGTGCCAAATCAGGACGAAGTTTGTTCTTTGAGAACAAAAGAGAACAAGGAAGACTCAAAACATCAAAATAAACATGACTTGTGGTTCGGATTTTAGACTGAAAAAGTTGTATTTATTTTTGCATATATTTTTAACATTTTCGCGCGAAAACTCAAGATTAGGTACCAGTCCCCCAATGATGAAAAGTGTATGGAGCCACCTTAAAATGGTGAGTATTTTGGCTTTAAGCCAGGTTTCCATGTGGTCGTAACGGTCCTAAAAATTGAGTCACGATCTTTCTCATCAGCCGAAATACAGCATTTTAGAACTGAAAATACGGAGTGATTATAACTAGAGAATGCTTATGATAGAAATGGGGTTTACAGGTATAAACTATATAAACTGATATTAGTGATGTTACTCTGAATGTATGTCCACACCGGGTGAACTTGAAAAATATGCCTGGAATCATCACTGGGAGAGGATTGGGACGTCCAGTATTCCGAGTACTCATGGTTGCACAAAGAGTGCTGTTGCTCTGTAACACCAATGAGTGTATTATGTTATCATTGTGTATGACTGCTAATGAACTTTTTAACTTACTTTATTATACAATTTAAATAATTTTAAAATTTTAAAAAATTTCAGTATATTTTATATCTGTTTCATTTAATTTTGCCCCAGTTCACGTATTAGTCCCACAATATTACCTCAAGAAGATATATTTCGCACTGAAATAGATCATTTGACTGTACTTAACATATCCATGTTGAAAAAAGCGTTTAAATATACTTCCTTGCTATTTTAAGACAGCGACACTTCTTAAGCGTCTCGTTTTGCCCCGTATTGCTACTATAAACGAAATCATTTTATGAAATTATATTTGGGGGTCACCGATGTCGTTTTTGAGTTAAATTACTTTTAAGCCAAAATTTTCGCATCTTGAAGCGTCATTATTGCCATAGCAACGGCAGTTGCGTAACTTTTGTTAAAAAAATTCGAACCCTTTATGTGTTATTTTACACGAATAATATATTTTTGTTTTTCAACAGGTAATAATTGTCCAAAAATGAGGACTTATATAAATCGTGAATTTTCCATTTTTTAAACACTCTATTGAGCCACCTAAAATTGTATTTTTCTGCCCAGCTCAATTTTATAAAGTTCTTCATTTCCTGCATATTTAATTGTCCTTCATTTCCTGCATATTTTAACAAAATTGCAATAAGCAGTGAATATGCTCAAAATACCACTACGATAAACTAACATTTTAAGTGATCCAATAGCAATTTTTGGCAGAGCAAGTGGCAGTAAATGAGTGCTTATAAGCTTCTATATGTATGCGAATTCTTATTTTCTAATTTCTGTTCTATGTAAATAGTAACTATATTAAAACATGTGATACAGTATTGGAATAGGCAACTAATTTATTCTACAACTTGGGGCCATTTATTTCTGAAATTTCAGGTATATTGAAAAATTACGATGTATCGTTTGCAAAAGTGACCCATCAATGAAATATCATTAATTTTGAATGCATTTATATTGTTCCGATCTTACACTAGGCCCGAAATGTGCTGACTTTAAGAATTCTTCATGCAGTATCAAAGATGAACCTGTAAACTGCAAGTTGTTAAACAAGACGATGGGATGCCATTGCCTGGAAAATTTCTTTGGAAATGGAACACATTGCAAAGGTATCCTGGGAAAAATTGACGGGAAAAATTAAGCAGTTTAATTAATTAAATTAACAAAACATCTAAGTATAGGGACTTAGATCGCCTGAAACATTTAAACGTTACGTAGAAAAGCGTAAAAATATATTTAGTAAAGAACGACGAAGGCTGCGATCAAGAGCATCCAAAGCTGTGGCAATATGATGATACATGACTAACAGGACGTACGTAGTCCATTCTAGCACCCAAACACCTTAAATGAAAACGATAAACTACAAAACAAATTTATGATGAATCATTTATATGATGCAGATTTCCTTCGACTAATATGTCCAGCAGGTTACTAAAAAACAAAAGCTGAAATATTTTTGGGGCACCTAACACTTTTAAGCACGCTGAGTTCAAATCACACAATAATTGCACATGCAGGTTTTTGCTAATCATGCAGCATCAAGTATAAATTAGAACTCATGTTTAATATTACTGCAGTTGTATAGGGTGATGTCAGCAAATCGAATTTTATTGCAAGACTTTGGATTACAATAGTTAATTATAATTCCTACGACTGGATAATTTGGACCCAGGCATTGCAACTGATTTGCATTGAAAAGAATCATTTACGTAGAGTGAAAATAAAAGTTTGTAATGGGTTTGTTATTAGAGAAATTCACCTTTGACAACGAGTACGACTATGATTACGAGATTAATCTTATATTTGGGTACGTTATATTTACTACTCATGAATATTATAGCTTATTAGCTAATAATAGTTCGCGACATTCGTGACTGCTTTGACACGAAAATAAAACACCGACGTTTTCTCGAGTGAAAGGATGGATACTGACTCTGGTAAATAGCCATCTCATCCTGTTACTGATTTCGAAATTTGGTGTGTCAATATCATGTACAGCATATGATTTTTTTTTCTTTCTAGTTTCAGTGATTGCTAGAAGAAGTTCTGCAGACTCTTCAAAAATAATCATCGTAGTTGTCGTTTTTCTTTTATTATCTGTACTTGTCATATTTGCTGTCACTCTGTCGTTTTACCGAAAACGAAGAATTACTCGTCAAGAAACGTTTACTAGAGCAGTACACGTGGTTAGTATTTCAAAATTGTGATATCTAAATCAAAGAATCTGCATTATAGGGACGAAGGTTTGCATATTTAATAGAAATCTATCTTTATAAATATATGGTCAGAATAATGCAAACAGCGCACAATGTTAAACATTGAGTCAGTTCTCTCAAACTTTTCTCACAAATATATCAAAACTTAGGGGTTATGGCAAAATGCTACTGCGTGATCACAGAAAGTTTGGGAATTCCGGGAATTCTTCCACTTGTGTGGGTTAGCTAGTACTCCGGCACATCACAAACATCAGAGACTTTTGCCATTTGATGACTTATGTATCGATCAATTCGAAACTTCAACATGCTCCCAGGGCCGACCCCGGGAATTTGAACTTTTTGAAATTTGACTGATCAAATTCTCCACATCCTGTGCAAAAATGTCTGCAAATGCCCCACTGTAACAAGAAATTAAGCGTTAAAATGCCCCACCTTTATATGAAAATTATGAAACAGTAAATACAAAAATTACAAAATATACGGAAATGTTTTTCGGCAAGATAGCGAAATTCACTTAAAAAGTTTGGAAACCTTATGGAAATTTAACAGTTTTACACAATTTTGTAGTACAAACCTTCAAATGAAGCACATAGCTTTTCCATGCCCGTTTCTTTGAGCCAGTTTTTCACAAAATTGAAGCCGTTTCTCTCGAAATCTGAGAAAACTGCATTTGCCGCCAATGCGAAGTATTTTCTGTGCATGCAGAAAGCACGCGAAAACGGGCAAAATTTTAAGACTTCCGAGTCAAATTCCCCACCCTTATCAAATGCCCGACCACATGCATGGAAGACTTAGAACGTCAAATTCCCTACTCCCTGGAGAAGACTTGAGGTCAAATTCCCGGGATATGTCCGGGAGGGAATGTGAAGTTTCGAAATGATCGGTACATTAGTGCGCCTATTGGAGGCTTAACGCAAACTTAAGTGACCTTAGACTATTTAAGGCATGCAATCTTAGACAAGAACTCTGGTGCCTTTAAAATAAGTCACATTAATTAAGTAAGCCTGTTTTCCACTAGGCGAATTTGTTGGAATTTGTTGGAATCTGTTGCTGACGTGATATGCTATGCCGATAAATAAAAAAATCGCTTCAAGTGAACAACCTCGCCTAGTTGATAACGATCGAGAGCTTACTTACTGCGACTTGTATTCAAGGCACCAGAGTAGGTTTCCATCCACAAGACCTCTCTATATCTGTTAACTGCACTAAAAGTTGGGTTTTTTACCAAACAATCGATATCGGCAAAAACATTGAAAACAGATAATACTTACGATTTATAGACCCGGTGCGCGGTGGATTATGCGAAATATTACCCGAAGTGATGGTAATGTTTCCACGAATCGCCCGAGCGGAGGGTCTGTATAAATTATATATTATCCCGAAAGATAAAGAACCCACTAGGTTGAGAATAAAATTGCTGAATAACTAAGCGAATACAAGGTTTAATGTCTTATTTATACCTGAGTTTTTTACTTTTTCTCTTTAAAATATTTGAGGCAGTAAGTATCCTTTGGATCATTGAATGTCATATACTCTTCAAAATATTTAGTTAAATCAATATATATTTCATAGGAAAAGACAAAAAATATATAACTTGTACGAAATTACAAATATTAAAAAGAGCTAAATCCACCGTGAGATATTAAAATATCTCACGCTGCATTTCGAAATCATGAATTTGAGTGAAATATCGTGAAAAGTCACATGGTACAAATGCTGGTTTTTTTATTGGACCATTTGAATTTGAGGTATAATATTTACTCATATCGATCGGCCCTCTCTAATTCTAGCCAGTCAGTAGAAATAGAATCAACGCTCTCTTCCCTTTCTTTTTAATTATAAAGTTAGGCACTGTACGTTTAGTATAAGAGTTAAAATGAGTTCTCAAGCTTGCGATGAAACGTAGATATATTAGGATTCTGAAAGATCAGGACCTGATTGAACATGAATATAGAGATAATATTCTATGCGTGTGAATGTATTTGCATCATATTAGTGCGTTTGAAAAGATACCAGAATATATTCATTGCAAACGTTCATTTTTGCATTTCTTTTACCAGTTACACAAAGGACGTTCTGCATCTAAAGATAATTTAGGGATTTTGTTCCCTGATGAAAAGAAAGATATAGAATGTTCCCCCAGAAGAAAATTACCATCCATTCGAGAACATAATAGCATGGAGGAGGAGTCAGAGGAAGGTACAATAAGTTCATCCGCACGTTGTTGAGGTTAGGGTTAGGCGATCAACCAGTTATAAACATATCATGGATGTGTATACTTTGGATAGCCGCTGGTTGAATAGAGGAATTATTGTCCACCAAACATTTTCTTCTGGTTTACAAGTATAATACAAGTTTAGTGGTATAATTACATATTAAGCAATCAACCCAGTAAATATAAACCTCCCTGTGACAATTACCCTTTGAACTTTAGGAAACATTATTTCTTACATCTGTGTTCTGGACGATTGGGAAATAGAAAAAGAAAATCTTACAATTCTTAATAAGAAGTTAGGTGGAGGATATTTTGGCGTGGTGAAGAAGGGGATGTACAAAGAAAAAGAGAACGATGGTCTAGTTGTGGCTGTAAAAATGCTCAAAGGTGCGTATTTGCATGCTTGTCATGAAGGAACGAAAGAGGTTTTGAGGCTGGTTGCCAGAGGCAGGTTGCCAGAGGCAGGTTGCCAGAGGCAGGTTGCCAGGGGCCTGTTATTTAGAGCCCGATTAGCGCTAACCCTGTTTTAACCTGCTGTTTTCGTTTATGTATTTCTGCATGATTATTTCGTTTATGTATTTCTGCATCATCGTTTAAAAACTTTAGAAAATAAAACCCCTACTGAACCAGAAAAGATTTCTGGAAAAACATATTTAACTTGATTGATGAGCTGTGGGAAAATTTACTTCGTAGATTTGTGTTAATCGAGAGTGCCTAACCTGCTTTTGAACAACTGGCCCTGGCTACCATGCAGGGGTGAAAAAAACAAGGCTTTTTCGGAGTCAAACAATCAAGAGTCTAAATATATAACCGATTTTGATCTCTAATTTTCAAATGGCTATGTTTTTTTCAAACAATTTAAATAGTTTAAAATGTTATTTTACTAGCTTCGACCAAATCAAATTTCAAGCTAATCATTCTGAACAATTTCTATATTGTGCTTTTTAGATTCAGCGTCAGCTGCCGACCGCTCAGATCTCTTAATGGAACTTTATATTTTAAAGGAAGTGAACAAAAGTCCACATCCTAATGTTATCAAACTAATTGGAGCATTCACGAGTGAAGGTATATGGATGACATCGTGTGATATTTGTTGATTAGAATTCCCATGTTGAATGCATGCTTCATATTTCTTGCTGTTTCATTCACCTAGGAACCTATATTCGCACAAACGATTTAATTACATATTTACAAGTTCATCTAAATATCATGTTGAGTGATCACGCGCTTCAACTCGTTAAGCCGCATTGCATCCTGACGTACCCTACTTCACTATATTACTCTGTCTAACTTCACACGATTTTACTAGTGAAGTCGGAAAGTGCTTCCTCTCAATGGTTCAGCCAAATAATATGAAAATATGCCTTGTTGATCTATATTATGATGCATTGTGTTCTATTTTATGATGCTACCCTGTCTAACGCCAGACGATTTTATTCGTCATAAGGAGAGTGCTGTCCTTAGTATAGGTTAACATCCTACTATAGTAGAGATATTTAATATCTTACTAAGTTGAAATAAATGAAATAAATGTCAGTAAGTTGAAACCAAAATATGTAGCTACAATAAAACCATACCAATTTTTTCCAGATAACTAAAACGTCTTACAATCTTTGACGGTGTATTTTCACATGTTATGTTCTATATAATTTGTACAGACTGAACGTTTCCAAAACTTTCTGATCTAGAGCCCATTCTCGTAATCACCGAGTTCTGTGCTCGTGGTAATCTGAGGCACCTACTAAGAAAAAGTCGGATACCGGTAGACAACGATGGCGGCGAAAACAGTTCAGAATATAAAAATATTTTCTCAACATTATGTCACAGAAAGCTGTTACAGATAGCTGTCGATATTTCCAATGGAATGCAACATCTTGCTGCACATCAGGTACTAGATGTATTATTTTGTACAACTTGCAGGGGTTATTCTAAGCTGGATTTGCTAGGTCTTTCTGGAGTTGGAAAAAAAGATCTGGAGTTGCAAATGAAAAACACTGGAGTTGTGACTGATATAATATTGATAATTTAGTCTTCAACTCAACACACATTCAAAATATATCACATTCCAGAAGTCACATTCATTAACGTATAAAGTTATGTACTGTAGTATAAAAGTGTAAATTAGAGAAGTTAAGTTAAAGTGTTTTTTATCCATAAGCCAAGCTATGTTCAAAACAGTTTGGTCTTCTAATTTTGTTCTACATGTTAATCCACTATGTCGTCTCTTGACTCTCTTGTGTGTTCTTTCTTCTCAGTTTCTTCTTTAACCACACCTTTGACCCATTGGCATTGTTGATAGCGTGCTTTGTCAGTTCTTCGTTTTTGCGTTCCCTCTGTTGCAGTCATATCACAACACACATTCTTCGATCCAATTCCTCAATATTGAAATGAACGTATAGATAAAGATTTTGTGTTTCGACATCAATAGAATTCCTCAGCGATGTTTTTACAAGGTTGGATACACTGATTAACCTTTCATCATCGCACGAGTGAGGTTTTGCTGCCCGTATTCTGGAAAGGGCTATGACAATATTGGGGTAAATGTTTCGTTTTCGTGCCAAATACTGTCCCATCTGAGCTAAACGTAGGTTTTGGAGAGTACGTATCAGCTCTGGTAATGTTACAATGCTGTTAAATTCTAGAGAAAGTTCTATTAACGGTAAATCTGAACATACAGTATTGTTTCGTAGAATTCCTTGATATCAGCATCAGGCTTTAAAGCAATAAAGGGTTTGACTACTTTCAGTATCTTCTGATCAACACCAAATGTCCAAATCTCTGATCTAGAAATTCCAAAAGGCAATAAATAATTTCTTTCTTCACCGCTGTTACATCTCTTAAGGCGGTCACAAAAAGGTGATGAACTCGCCTTTCTCGTGGAATACTAAGGGCAATGCCTTTCAAGGAAAGTTGATTATATCAGGCTCTTCCTTTGAAAGAAGTATTATAGTAGAAGATTCCACTCTTGACATGTATTGTAACAGAGACGTTTTGAGACGTTCTTCTTGACAAATCAGTTTCGTTCAATATTTACATGATTTTACAAGATTTTATTAGTCGTTATCTCTTATCAGTTTGATACGTTGATAGGTTTTGTCACTTTAGTGCTCTGTCAGCAGGGGAAACATTTTATTTATTTTTATAAAGACACAGAAGTAAAATATTATTAATTGTGACTGCTAAATGGAAAAGTATTTGACCTAAGACTGAGCGAAACTCATTGGAAGTCGTATTTATTTCCTAAGATGTTTATAGTTTATGAAGTATGTCATCAGTTTATAGAAAATATGGAATTATTGTGCACTAAAGCCTATATAATAACTAGTACAAATGTCCTTCTTTCAAGACCTAATTAATTTCCTCACCATTGACCAAATAAGAACCTATGTCCTGAAGGTATATTACCTCTTACCTACCTCATCAACAGGTGTACCGTATTCGTTGGGTCTTACGTCACCACACCGACAAGTGACTAACAGTTGCTGTGACAGAGTCACATACAGTGTAACTGGAGAATAAGTAAGATGAAGACCACACCAAATTCAAAAAAATTAATTAGCCGTGCTAGTTATTCTCAGGGATAATGCAGGTTG